TGTCTCTCTCTCTCTCTCTCTCTCTGTGTCTCTCTCTCTCTCTCTCTCTCTTTTTTTTTTTTTTTTTTTTTTTTTCCCTTTCCTTCCTCCCACAGAAATCCTATGAGCATCTGGCAAAAATACGAGTAGCGAGAGAAGCGCCTCTAGAGTGCAACTGCCCACCAGGTAACAGGCACAGCTTGGCAATCTCCTCAGTAGGAGATTTATGACTCCTTGGGTTTGGGTATCCAGTGTTCCTCAAACGCATATATTAAAAAGAAAATACAAGTCAAACACAGGGGCTGCCTTTTCTGTGAATAAGTATGCCTTGAGTGGAAAAGGTGTAAAGCCAGAATTTTATATGGTTTGCCCTGTTGCACTGAATTGGAATTAAATGGTAASAGAAACCTCAGTTAGACTGGGAGGTGCCTTAAAGTAACACTTAGGAGGAAGTTAATGATATACCCCAGCAAAAAGAAATATATTCTGTCTTTAGTGGTGTAACACTGAATCAAGACATTGTGCACTCCTTTGAGGAAGTAGAATAAACATTGTTATTGAAAGTACTGCAACACTTACAGTAAACTCCATGTATTTTAACACATTTTTAGTCTTCAGTAGCATATGCAAAAGCTTTTCAATAATATTCCCGTGGTTTGTTGTTTATTGTCCTCACAGATCAAATCAGCACCCCAAGTTTAATATTGAGGATTCAAAGGTGGTCCTATTTCCATAGCCAAGGATGTTGCTTGACTTTGGAAATAGGCACTGGAATCCTGGGATCAGTTATTTGTACACACTAATATAGTAATGTGCTGTATGTTTTTCATGATTTTGTTAACAGTCAACTGTTCACTGTTTTAGCTGTATGAATTTCTGCTAATATGTCCCCAAGTTTAAAAGGATATTTTAAAAAGAAATTAATGCTAATGGTTTCCTTGCAGTAATTCTAGTATCCTCTGTTTGATGAAGAACAATGGACATGGAGGATACTTTATGCATCCTGCCATTCTATATTAGAAAAATCTCATCTTCACTGGGGGAATACTGACAGTCAATAAGAATTAAGCTAATGATAATGTTTGGTAACTCCCAACAACAGCTGTTGGTATCTTACTGGTAATGCAACTAAGAGCAGAGTACTTTACAGGCTGAAATAGTTATTACTGTGGCTAGTGTGAAAAGGGCTATATATTTGATGGCTTAGGACTCTCCTAAAAGAAGGCTAAGAATTACTCAACTCTCTTCTAGTTATGGTGAGAAAAGCAGATGTTCTTCTGAATTGTGTTATATGTATTTTTGTTGCTTAAAAGCTAGCACAAGAATACTTTTTTGGGGGGTTACTTAACTGCTTAACCTGGATAAATACTAAAATTCAAGCTTGTGCACTAAAAATGAGGGTTGTTTATCAGGTTGCATGCAAAGATCTAAGCAGCGAGCCTGAAACACCATTGAGTTTGTTTTCAACCGTATCATTTTTATTAATCATTACGTAAGTTCATTTATTGTTATATTTTCACTTTTTGCTTTCAGGCTAAAGGTCTGTCTCTTCTGTTTCACGTTTGGGTTATATGCTGTTTTACTTCCTTGCTACCACTAGAGCTCCACATTATACCAATTATTATTTGACCTTAATTTTTCAGTATGTTTTATCACATAGATAATGAGTAATAGAATGTTTTTCACATACTTTGTAAAAATTCCCATTGTGTGAAAGCTTTACAGATCATTTTGTTCTGATGTTTTCAGGTAGGGAAGATTCATAAGATGAGGCAAATGCATATGAGTAACTGTCAAAAATTTTCATAGGGAAGACTAGCTGTTATGGGGGCCAGAAACATGGTATGGAGTCCTTCACCTCTTGGTAGCTATTTCACTTTGAAGGAAAGTTTTGTAGAGATTGAAAGATAACGCCCTTTCACAGCCCCATTTTGGACAGCTTAAAATGAGTTGGTGTTGTCATGCTTGTAGCCAGTGGACAGGTGTGTATCTCAAACTGGCATTTTCTTGGAAGCCTTGAGAAAACCATGACTGAAAAGCACTGCTATCCAACTTCATTTTGATAACTATTATAAATTTCACATGGTAAATTATACCTTCTGAAATATGATTAATTTGCTTTTAGAATTGTTTTTATAGTCGAAATGGTGGGATCTATTTTCATCGTTAATGCTGTTACTTCTGTGTTCTGAAAGTGGCTTAATATAAGAAGAAACGTGGAAACTTCTTTTTTTCCCCTCCTGTTGCTTGCTCTTTTTGAACCTAAGAATAAATTACAACTTTGCTTCCCCATGTGATTCCATTTTTGCCGCTTTATTCTGCTCAGCTTTTGCAGTTTTTCACTGGGATTATATAAGAGTACAGTACATGTCTGTTAGGGTTAATTTTAGAAAGCCTTCATGGAACAAACATACAGAGGTGACTTTGAAAGATCCCCTATGTTGTGAGAACAAGGCTGCTGCCTAATGGCCAAAAAGGCATTTTTCCTCCTTCCATTCTTTAAAGAGAAATAAAGATTATTTGAAAATAGGCTGCAATGAATTTCCCTTTGCCCATTTTAAGACAATCTATGACCAGGAGAGTGAGAATGTAGCAGCTGATTTCGCATTAAAGTTCTGTAACTCGTGTAGACATCCTTAGCTTGAGATATTCATCCTTTTGTGGTTCTCCATTGTAGGAACTCAAAAGTTCAGATAAAGCTGGATTTTGAAAAGCTTGAATGTTAAGATCGGGCAAATTTGCAGCTCTATAGCTTACAAAGCTGTCCACATGTGGCTGCTTGAACTTAATAGCTTTAAACTTTGTCTAGACTGAAGAGTGGTTGCATTTCTCTTCTAAAGACTCTAATATTTTCTTTGAATATGTAAATGTAATGTATTTTTTCTAATTATTATTATAATAGCAACAAACTGCAAGGGGATGTTTTGATTTCAATTCTTTAGGATTAAAATCAGCTACCAAAGATTTTGTAAATATTTCTAAGTTACAATAGCAGGCATTCTTTCTCTTCTTAATGCAGGGCAATAAAGTTTGAAATGTAAATGCATACTGGCATTCTTTTAAAATTACCTCAGCTCTAACAAGAGTGCCAACATAAATCCCATGCTTGCAACCAGTGCTGCAGTCACTGCTGGCAACTGGCCTTCTGCACATGGGACTGGGAGGCAAATTGAATGGCTAAAATTATTTTGAGCTTAACATTCATTTTCCTTTGTCTCAGAGATTTAATATTTACTGCAAATGAATGTTTCCTGACTGTAAAAATGGATTATTTCTCTATATTGAAGTCTCTTTAAATGGTAGTGGCAGCATGATCAGCTTTTGAGCAGTTACCCACAGTGTTGGATACTTCCTACCAACTGCTGAGAATTCTACTGTTGCAGGAGGCGTAACATCTGAAAAGCACAGAGGACACTTCTGCTTCAGGAGAAATTAGTAATTAATAACTTGTAGAAGATTTTTCATAAAGCTCTTCCAAAATCACTCAAGCCTATGTCTAGAACCCACAGACTTCAATGGCAATTAAGCATATGCTTGCATGCTTCAGGGATTTGAGTCTTGTTGTATTGTCAGGGTGAAGTTGTGATACTTGTGTTCTTGTGTCATAATGTCTCATTCTCTAAATAATCCTCAGAGGGCCCATGTGGGGAGTTGGATCATGGAATAATTGAGGTTGGAAAGGACCCATACAGATCATCTAGTCCAAGGTGCCTGCTCAAGCAGGATCACTTAGAGCATGTTGTCCAGCATTGTGTCCAGTTGCCRTTTGAAAATATCTAAGCAAGGAGACTCTCCAGCTTCTTTGGGTAATCTCTGTGCTCAGTCACTCTCACAGTAAAGTTGTTTGTGCTCATGTTCAAATGGAATTTCTTGTGCTTCAGTTTGTAGCTGTCTGAATGCCCTTCAGAAACTTTTATGAGTTGATAAGATCCATCTTCATTTTTTTTTTTTTCTCTAGGCTGAACAGGCCAAGCTTGCTCAGCCTCTCCTCCCAGAGAGATTCTCTAGTCCCTTAATCATCTTGGTAGTCATCTGCTGGACATCCAGAGCTCCTTGTCTCTCTTGTACTGGGGGACACAGCACTGCAGATGTSGCCTTGCCAGGCTGAGTAGGGGGGTAGCATCACCTCTTTCATCTGCTGGCAATGCTCATCGTGATGCTGCCTAAGATACCATTTACTTTCTTGACCACAAAGGCACACTGCTGCCTCTTATTTTTGATTCACTGGCAAAGCTTTTGCTTAATTCAGTAGAAACAAGATTCAGGAAACAATTGCCTAAGAAAATATTCTAAATGATGAGTAAAATGTTGAGACAGACAGCCTGTGGCAGAGCAAGTAACGTCATTTCTGAGGAGTACTTGTAGTTGGAAGGGAAACAGAAAAACGTAAAAACGCAGGGTGGCAGAGTCTTAGATGGGTACTAAAATCAATGTGTGATGGCTAAACATAGCAACACTGGAATCTGCTCCATGCAGTTGTTTTATGTTCCTGCAATTTAAATTCTTTGATGCACGTCTACTTGATTAAAAGTTTAATGCAAGTATGGTGCACCCATTTTTCAGCTGTGCGCTTAGTTTCTTTCTGATTCTGTTGGTTAAGCTGGATCAGCTTTTTTTATTATAAATAATTAAAAAATAAAAGCAAATCCTACCTAAACACAGGAAGTAGTGGAAATATAATGACCTGATTCACCAGAAAAAAAATAAATGCAAACAATCAGTAGATTTTATGTGCCAGCTTTTCAAAGGAAGGATTGCAAATCCATGCCCATGGGCCAAGGTACTTGTCATTTGATTTGTATCTCTAGAAATTCTCTTAACAAATTTTCAGGAATGTAAGTGTCAGTTTTTATTATTTCCTTTATTTTGAAAGCAGTGATTTTTTTTTTTCAGCTTTTGGGAAAGAACTATATAGCATGAACTAATCTCTTAAAGGAAGGAAAAAAAAAGGAGAGAAAGGAAGGAAAAAAAAAAAAAAAACCCAAACCAACAACAGGAAACACAAATCAATGTAAATAGGAATCCCCATGCTTCAGTTTCTTTAACTTCTTTTCCTTGTATTCAGATAACTTTAGCTTCAAACTCTTTATACTCACTGGACACCGCTATCATCATTCTTTATTAGCCTGCCCTTGTCATCTTATCTTGATTCTCAATTCCAGTCTTAAAGGTCTTTATGCTTTGGC